TTTAAAGACAAAACATACTTTACATTTTCATAGAATAACATTACATCACTTGTTTGCGATTTAATATTACAATAACATTCGCCTCGGGCTATATGTTTTCAAAACATATCACATCACATTCGTCAGCTAAAAATGTCAATATCTGTGTTTTACTAAATAAGTTATCTATGGTATAATATGGAATAATATGGAATATCGAATCTTCTTCAGAATACGGCTTATGAGTTATAGTATATTGGAAGGCTACTTAAAAAAATATTCGAATCAACGCTAAATTTGTATTTTGTCTACTTTTATTTGTATTTCTAAATGTCTTTCAAATTGTAATATATGCATGAAGTCTACGAGGATCATAAGATTCGCGAGCAATTTTTGCATAATGTGAAGTGTGAAACCATACAAGAATGAGGAAATAAACAATTATGCCCCTGTATAATTTGATTTGAGTTCAATGAAATAAACTTTTTTTATTTGGTTCCTTTGAAATATACCACATATAATTGGAAAATGCGACATATATTTAAACGGGAAATGGATCTGACACTATTTCTGTTAACATTCTATTTGATCCATTAATCATACTAAATATGTAAACTTAATATATATTTCTTCTCACCAAATTGTAACTATATATTACTATTATCATAAGAATACAATATAGCCGTTTTCCATTATGTATTTGTATATGTTAATGTATGTATACTGCTGATGTTTCCCGCTATTGTGGGACTTGTGCATTTTGTAAATAAATTGAATTTAATTTGAATAGGTTTGAGCATTCCGCCGGAGCAGAGAGATGACCTTCTCGAAATTTGTAATGTGATAGAGGTAATTGATATTTTATTGTTTTTAACATCTTGCATATGCTTTTGTAAATTATTATCTCATAAATAATTATTATGACAGAGAAGGCGTAAAAACAGCACTTCTGTAAAACACATATAATTAGCTGTAATTAGATGTTTTTGTTTTTACATTTATAAAAGAAAGTGTTTGCATAGTGCCGTACATAGATCATGCCATTATTTACAAATTAAAAAGAAAAACGGATTTTTTATGTTAATATACTAGCTTTTTAATTGCGTTTTTGTTTTGATATCTGCAAGTGTGACTCCGTTGCTTTGGTGTATTTGAGACAGTATGGACAGTATGAATTTTATGTGAATGTTATATATATAATTATTTTTTATGTGAATGTTATAGCGTACATTAATATAACTATATGTTAAGAAGAATTAACTATGAATAATTATAAATGTTAGCAAGAAAAGAGGTTAGTCTGTTGATCTATTAAAAGTTTCATCATTGCTTAGGATCTTTCCAAAGTACCTTAATATGAGAGTTATAAAATATTGTTCAACAGTGATATGCGTATGAGCTGATGTAAAACCGTCTATATAGATTCACTGACGTTCACTTTGATAAAAGAACACTTCCTAGGGTGCTTGATAATTGATTTACGAAACAAATATATAAATCATCAGGCAATGTATTCAGGTTTTATATTAACTCCATTTTAACCTCTTTAACCACAGAATCATCCTTTCCAAGTTAATACCATGCACATAATTATATAATTATATACATAATTACCCAATATAAAAGAAACTGACCAAAATGTAAGGACCTCTGAGCTAATATACTATACAAAATAATTACCATTATATAATTATAAATATTATAATAAGCGCCCATATAAGTGATATGACAGTATAACTGAGGGGAACTTACGGAAATCAGTATCGGAACTTCATGCCCTCTCAAAGAATTTCGGGAAAAATATAAAAAAATAATGCATAATAACCTTATAATTATGATTCTTTAGGATACGCATAACTGTACCGTTCATTTTTCCACCTTTTGTTGTATCACAACTAAAATCCGTTGCTTGTTTGAATTATAATCTTGATGAAAGGCGTGGACTTTAATGTCGTCGATAAGAAGATGCAAGTTGAGGTTGCATGATGTTGTTGATATTATAATCATCATAAGAAGGATAGTACTTAGCTATTGTAACGGATTTTAGAGACAATGTGAAGAACAACATTGACAAAAAGTTGTTCCTGCAGTATTACATTAGTCAAAATGTACAAAATACTACTTTAAGTCCTATAGGATCAATAATACAAAAATAATACAAATATTAAAAAATAGTTAGAAGTTAATGAACTTAACTGTGAATATAAAATTACAAAAATAGCCTTCATAACAGTTTAAGGGAGACACAGGCATAGATATTATTTCCTAGTTTTAATTGTTTTCGTTTACTTAATTATTCTGAAAATGCCCTCAAAATGAATACACTTGGCAGTAATAAAAACGGAACGTTTCTCATTAAAGTAATAAAATAGTTGGTTTCTTTACTTGATTCACGTCGGTCCGCTTAGAGTGTAAATATTTCACTATAGTTGTCACAGTGAACTCTGCAAATGTTAAGGATCATGTCAAATGAATGACTTTGAAATTGTTCAAGTCACATGACTTACTCGGTGATTCTGTCGGCGTCCAAATTTCGTTCTACATAATAATAGTAATTACACTAATAACAATAATAATAATTATAATAATAATAAAAATAATAAAATAAATAATAATAATACTTATAATAATAATAATAATGATAATAATAATAATAAAACTAATAATACTATAATAATAAATTATATAGATATGTTTTCGCTCTTAACAAAAAATATATAGAATTTCTACAGATATTAGATAATCTGTCTTTTCAGAGTGATTTGAGTACATAACATTATATTAATATTTAGTTAGTATTTTTGTAAGTAGAAATAATAAAGATTATGCAGGAGATAGGATAAAGACCCTGTTTTCCACTTTTAGAAAAAGATACCGGATTTTGTTGACTTTTGGCTTCCATGTAAGTACACGTGTGTTTCTTTATGTTTACATATGATTAACAAATAAGATAAATGTGATTTTAGTTAAATAGAAACAATAGCCTAATAAACAAATATAAATCTTGTATCCGATATGGTAAACATATTTAAGTTGTAACTGAACTAAACTTTGAAATAGTAGTAATATAATTTTTATGCAGTCTAAAAAAAGTAAAAACAAAACGTTTGACCATGGAAGCGTTCGTTGTTGTTCCAGATGAGGTGCAAAATGACTCAAAAGAAAGCTTATTATATAACAAATACAAAGAGGTTGAAACGTTTGTACTCCAAAACGATGGTAAGTAGTACTTATCAAATAATCTTATCTCTGTCATGTTATGATGATAATTATTATATTGTGTATTTATTAATAATGTTTATAATTGACTATTTTCATCTAAAATTTTTTCATAAAATTACTTCTAAGATATTACATACTTGAGGTCGGAAAACATGTCCATGCCACGAGCAGATTTTAATACAACAATATCTAATAATCATTTTAACTGATTTCACGTTAACTCGCAGTGAGAGAGAGAAAGAATAAAATTTTAATTTAGAAAAAAAATACATGAAAGTTATTCTCTGGTCAAATTTGATATTTGAAGATATTGATAATTGTTATAGAGTCTCTTTACTTTGTAAATATACAATATTAAACAAACATATTTTGTCTTCATACAAAGATTATGTGTTATGCTTTAAAGGGAGACACAGGCAACATTTTCATTTCTTCGTTTGGATTTCCTTCCAGGGTTTGTTGAAGTCACATGACTTGTTTTAAAACTACTCGGTGATTCTGTCGGCGTCTGAACTTCGTTCAATATATCTAGATATATTTACGCTTCAAACCCAAAATATAAAGAATATAAACAGAACTTCATTCTGTGGCTTTAAAAAGTGTCATTTTAAGCGTTATTTGAAAACATTTAATCACTTTAAAATTTTGTCATTCATTTGCCTGAGTATCCATACTCTATGTGGACATAATACGAATATAAAATGTCATTATAAAATGTCAGCTATTTTAAAAAAGGACTACCAACTTGAAATTGACCCGTATTAGAGTATGCAGCGTCCCATTCATAGATCGTTATACAATATTATCCTTAATTTCTAATAAGATGTAAGTCATAAAGAATTTCATAGATTTCAACATATTTAAATGCGATATAAATATTTCTCATATATAAACTCATATATGAGCATAGTATATCTTTAAGGATGTTCAAAGGATGAAATAATTTATCTCTAATTGAGTGTTATAAATGTCTTGGTTGGTCTTCACTTACTTTATATGATATAGATTACTTTATAACCTATAAATAAAAATTTACATAAAGATGAAATATCCAGATGTCACTTAAGCTTACCTATTTTCAATTTTGTTAAATGGTATGAAGAGTAAGAAGATTATGTCTATTCTTTTATTTATCTTATATTGGATATTCTAACCAGTCATGTTGAAATGACCAGAGCTCAAGTATGAATGCTTGTATCAGGGCAGGGTCATTATAAAATAAAATACTTTGCAATATTATTTACAAATAAAGTACAAGGGAAGTTACACAGTGAGCAGTATGAAATATCACATAAAGAGTTAACTTTTATTGATGCCAAAACATATTCCATATCATCAATAGAAAATATATTGTTATCAATTAATAGTTATAGATTGGAAACAAGTTGAAGGAAAATTACGACAGATTTTATTGGAGTATGAAAATGCTAAAAGTGATGGTATGTATTATTCATGGCATATTGACAAATTTACACAAACTTTATAGATGTCCATGTTCTACTTTAATTTCTAACAAGTTAAGCCGGGATATTTAGCTAAACATATTCATGAATGATATGAGCGTCCTTATTTAAAGCAGATTAAGATTGATCTTTATCGCATTAAAATGCACTGTGTTTGATCGGGAACCTTTCGGAATATTGATTAATAAAATTAACAGATTAAGCAAAATCATATTATTAAAACTATTTTCATTTGATTATTTACATAGCTGATATTCCGTATTGCTTTTGACGAATGATGTGATCCTCCTTATTTTATGATTGCTCTTTACAGCATTAAAAAACATTGTGTTTGATTTGGAACCTTTAGGAAAATTGTTTATTCGAATTCACATGATTAAGCAAAATCATATTATTAAAACTATTTTCATTTGCTCATTTACATAATTGATATTCCGTATTGAATCTTACAGAATTGAGGTTATGGATAGATTCGAATCCTTGGCTTAAATTATTCAGAACTCACGGTAAGCATTTTTAGATGCGTGAATGATGTGTGCATACCATAATAGTGGCACGCATCGTCGCCTGGGGCTTTGATATTAAAGTGATGATATATAAATAATGAAATTGCAAATGATAAAAGCAAACGTAAATATAACGATACAATTCCTCGTGTGATGTATCACCGTATCAATATATATGATCCAATACATGACTTTCACTGCTGTTATTTCAAATAAGGCAATCAAGATATTAATTATAAATCCTGATAAAATAAATGTAAAATATCCCCATCTCTACCCACCCCCCCCCGCCCCCCCCCAAAAAAAAAAAAAATTACCCCATCGTTTTGGCCAATGATTGCAATGAGTCTCATAAAGTATACAAATAGTAAATATTGTTCATATTCTAAGAATTAAATAATATCTGACAACAATCGGTCAGACAAAATAAATCGAATAAACATATTTTCTCACTAGGTTCAAATATCTCAGAACTACCGGCCACAATATGTCATATCATTTTTGCAAAGAAGGACATACAGACAAACGGACAGAAAAACAGATAAATTTTCTGCAAGAGATACACAAAGACAGTCATGCAGACAAATAGTGAGACAGATGGCATACGGACAGACTGATCAGAAAGATGTAAACGGAGGACAGACATTCGATAACTGACTCTCTGTTACATGACGAACAGAAAATTTCATAATTATTGCATTTTAACGTTATCATTATCGTGATGGCTTCCATCCATTATACCAAGAGTAACACAATTTTAGTCTGTATCGGGTAAATGAGGATCTTTCTCCACAAATCGCGACACGTTGAGATAATGTTGTTTATTTCATCATTTGCTTCTCAAGAAGATCTTTTTTCATCTTGAAAATATATATGATTTCCTATCTACATGGTTTCATTTGCTCAAAAAATCTCAATTTATTTATTTTCTATGCGTCAGAGCTTTGCAACAGCTTTGCACATGTGTGTGTGTGTGTGTGCGTGTGCGTGCGTGTGCGTGTGCGTGTGCGTGTGCGTGTGTGTTGGTGTGTGTGTGTGTGTGTGTGTGTGTTAAGCATGATGCAACCACATTATATCACGGCTAATGTTGTTCCGTATTTCATCTTTGCAACAGTTTATTTAATTGAATATGGATTTATGTCGAATTATAAATGCCCTAAAGATATAGATAAAATGTTACAGAAGCAGATGAAATTTTCGTAAAATGTTATCCGTCGCTTTATATTTAGATCTAAGATTCAGTAAAAATGAATGTAAATAACAAAAGCACCACGAAATTAGTTGAAATTAGAGGACTAAAAACTTGTTTCGATTTTTGACCAATTAATTTGTTAATGCATGCAAACGTGTATCTTCAAAAAATACCAACTTTGTTAAAGACAAAACATACTTACATTTTCACAGAATAACATTACATCCTTTGTGTGCAATAATATTTGCCTCGGGCTTTAACGTTTTTCCGAACATACCACATTACATTCACCAGCTCAAAACGTCAATATCGTATTTATTAAATGAATTATCAATTGTATAATATGGATTCAGAATACCACTTAATATAACATATATTTAACTGGAAGGCTACTTAAAATGAAGTCGCATCCCACTGAATTTGTATTTTGCCTACTTTTATTTTGCGGATATAATGGAGATAATAATATTTACATTGACAAGGAAAAACTGTCCTTGCACATTTGGAATACCTGAGTCAGTTTTTTTTTAAATGTCCTTCAAATTGTATTATATGCATCAAGTATATATGGATGATAAGATTCTCTAGCATTGTTTCCATAACTTCGTGAAGTGCTAAACCATATAAGAATGAGAAAATAAACAATTTTGCACATGTAAGATTTAAATTGAATTTCAGGAAAGAAACGGTACCGTTATCTTATTTTTTTCTTTTTTGTAATGTATCATGTCGCATTGGAACATACAATATGTATTTAAACGGGAAATCGATATTTACAGATTTGAGCATGTCCCCGGAACAGAGAGATGCCCTTCTCGAATTCTGTAAAGAGATAGAGGTAATTAATATTTTATCGTTGTTTACATTTAACATATGCTTTTGTTAAATATAATCTCATAAATTATCATTATGACAGAGAAGGTGTTAAAAACAGCACTTCTGCAAAGCACATATAATTAGCTGTCATCCGATATATTAGTTTTTAAATTTATAAAAATGAAGTGCATTGCAAAGTGACATACAAAGAGCTTATCATTATATACAAATCAAAAGAGAAGCATGTTTTTTATGTAAATATACTTACTTGTAAATTGCGTTCTTATTTTATTATTTGTTATTCCATTGCATTGGTGTATTTGAAACAGCATGGGCGGTTTTAACATCAATATAAATATATGTTTAGAATAGTTAACTATGAATAATTATAACTGTTCAATGTTAGCAAGAAAAGTAAATAATCAATCATACATTAAAGTTTGATTATTGTTTTAGATCTTTCCAAAGTACTTTCATATTTCAGATTTATAAAATATGATTCAACGGTGAAATGCGTATGAGTAAATATAAAACAGTCTTTATAGATTCAGTAACGTTCACTTTGAAAAGAAAAAAAGAACAATTCCTGGAATCCTTGATAATTCATCTACGTAACAAATATATAAATCGCCAGGCAATCTATTCAGATTTTATAAATAAAACTCATTTTTAAACCTCTTTACACAGACATGGACTTTATTAATCACATATCTTATCCAAGATTATACCATGTACATAATTATCCAATGTAAAAGAAACTGATCAAAATGTAAGGATCTCTGAACTGAAAATCTATATTAAGAGTATATTCCTCAAACAATAATGCAGATACATGTTTTTTGTTAATAACCATTTAACATATATCCGTCAAATGATTATGAGAAAAATAAGCAAAATATGTATATAATATATATAACATACGTTCCTGGCAAAGTATATATCTTGACATGAGAAGCCGGTAGTATAGTTTGGTGTCGAAATAAGTTTTTAAATAAAATATATCACCATATTAAACTTATTTTGAAGCGCCCATATAAATAGAATGACAGTTTGACGGAGGGGACCTTACGGAAATCAGTATCGGAACTTCATGCCCCCTCGAAGAATTTCAAGAAAAATATCAAAAAGTGCATAATAACATTTTATATGATTCTTTAGAATACGCATAACTGTACCTTTCATTTTTTCACCTTTTGATGATCGCAACTTAATTTACTTCAAGTCCGTTGTTTGTTTAATTATTTATCTTGATGAAAGGCTTGGACTTTAACGTCGTCGATAAGAAGCAAGTTGAAGTTGCATGCTGTTATTGATATACAGTATATATCAATTATTATCATCATAACAAAGATAGTAGACATTGTAACATATTTTAGAGACAGTGTGTAAAACAATACTGACAGAATGTTGTTCATGCAGTATTACATAAGTCAAACTATACAAAATATAGCTTTTAGTCATAAAGTATTAATAATACAAAATAAGTATACTTATTACAAAAATAGCATTAAGTGTATGTACTAAACTGCGAATATTACACAAACAGCCTTCGTACCAGTTAAAGGGAGACACAGGCATAGATGTTTTTCCTCGTTTTGATTCTTTCGTTCATTATTATGTAAATGTCCTCAAAATGAATACACTTGGCAGTTACAGGAACAAAACGTTTCTCCTTATAAAGAATAAAATAGGGAGTTCCTAACTTGATTCACGTTAGTCTGGTTAGAGAGTAAAGATTTCGCAAAAATTGTCACAGTGAATCTGGAAACGTTAAGGGACATGTAAAAAATAAATGACTTTGAGCTTATTCTAGTCACATTACTTGTTTTAATACGTCTCGATGATTATTTCCGAGTCTAAATTTTCTTCAACATAATAATAATAAATTGTATAGATATATTTACGCTTCAAACACAAAATATATAGAATTTCTAAAGAACTTCATACTGGGACTTTAGAAAATGTCGTTACAGCGTGATTGCAGTACAAAAGATTATATTAATATTTAGATCATTAATTTGCCTGAGTTGATTCTTGTAAGTAGAAACAATAAAATGTATGTAGGAGATAGGATAAAGACTCTGTTTTCTACTTTTAGGTAATGTTATCGTTGGCTGTTTGGTGTAAGTACGCGTGTTTTTTTCTGTTTAAAGATGATACACAATTAAGTAAAAAGATGCTTCCCATTAGCGTATTTGCTATTTGGATTTTAGTTCAATAGAAAATAGAGACTGTTAAACATAAATAAATCTTATAATTCTTATCTGATGTGATGAACAGTTGCAAGTTTAAATGAACTAATTTTGTAATGAAAGTAATTTATTCAGTCTATAAATAATAGAAAAATAACGTTTGACTAAGAAAGCGTTTGTTGTTGTTTTAGATAGGGGGTATGACTCAAAAGAAGGAGTATTACATAAGAAATTCAAAGAGTTTGAAACGTGTGTACTTCAAATGGTTGGTAAGTAGTACTTATCAAATTATATTATCTCTGTCATTTTTATTCTGAAAGTTATAATTTTGCGTATTTACTTATAATGTTTATAATTGACTATTTTTCATTTATAAACAGCAAATTATTTCTAAAATATAACATATTTGTAGTAAGAAAACATGTTCATGCATGAAACAGATTTTAAAACACTACTACTATGATCACTAACTTAACTGATATCACGTTAACTCGAACTGATAGAGAAAAAAATAAAATTTGATTTTAAACAATCGTTTTGCATTAAAATTATACTTTGCTCAAATTTGATAATTATTTTAAATTATTGGTAATTGCTACACAGTCACTTTGTAAATATGAAATAAACACATTTTGTCTTCCAGCAAAGATGATATGTTATGTTTTGAAATCTACATACTTTATGTGGACATAATTCGAATATAAATTTTCATTAGAAATGTCAGTTATTTCCAGAATGGACGACCAACTTGAAATTGGCCTGTATTAGGGAATGCAGCTGTCCATTAATATATCGTATATCCTTATTTTCTAATTAGTTTGTCTTTAACTGCTATATTTCATAACATATTAAAACAAATTGTACTAGAAATGAAACATCACAAATATCTAGATGTCACTTAAACTTATTATAAGATTTAAGTAAACGATTCTGTTAAACTGTATGGAGAATACAGAATGGCTGATTTATTGTTTTATCTTAAATTGGATATTCAAACACAGTCATGTTGAAATGACCAGAGCACAAGTATGAATGCTGGTTTCAGGGAAGGGCCATTGTTCAATACATTATTAAGCAATATTATTTTTACACAAAAGATACAAAGGATAAATAACAAGTATGAAACACCAATTAAGAGTTATGTTTTAATGATGCCAAAACATACAATATCATCAATAGAAAATATGTTTTTTATAAATTAATAGTAAAACTGTTATAGATTTGAAACAAGTGGAAGGAAATTTACGACAGATTTTATTGGAGTATGAAAGTGTTCAAAGTGATGGTATGTATTAATTCATGACATATTTAATATCAAATGTACACAGATTTTATAAATACTTATATTTCACTTTAATTTCTGACAGGTTTAGCCAAAATTGTCACGTACGCAATATTTAGCTAAATTCATCCATATTCCACTTAATTTCTTACACATTTTCCCGGAATGTCCACGTATGCAATATTATGCTAATTATATTCATGAATGATGTGATCCTCATTATTTAAAGCAGATTAAGATTTCACTTTAAAAATGCATTCAAATACATTGTGTTTGATCGGTACCTTTAGAAATATTGTTCAATAAAATGAACACATAATTAAGCAAAATCTTAATATTAAAACTATTTTTCTCTTGCTTATTTACATACCTGATATTCCGTATTGGTTTTGAAGAATGATTTGATCCTCCTTATTTGAAGAAGATCAAGATTGCTCTTTAAAGCTTTAAGATGCACATAATTAAGCAAAATTGTATTATTAAAACTATTTTTGTTTGCTCATTTACATAGATGATATTTCGTATTGAATCTTACAGAATTGAGGTTCGGGATAAAGTCGATGACTTGGCTTAAAATATTCAGGACTCACGGTAAGCATTTTTAGATGCGTGTAAGATTTGTGCATACCATAATGGATGTACTTTACAGCAAAAAGGGCACGCATTGAGCTCTTGAAATTAAAGAGATGATATATAAATAATGGCATCGGAGATGATAGAAGCAAAGGCACAATATAAGGAGACAATTACTCGTGTGATGTATCTTCGTGGTCAAATAATACTATAAATGATTCCGGACATGGCTATGATTGCTACTTATTTCAAATAAAGCAATCAAGATATTGATAATAAATCCTTATGATATAAATTTAACACATTTTCCCCAAAAGGAATGACTTATCTGGGTTTTTAGTCCAATGAGTCTCAAACGATATACGTACCGTAAAGCACATAATTAAATAAGAACTGACAACAGCCAGGCAGACAATATAAATCGAAAGGTATTTGTACAAAGAAAGACAAAGAGACAAACGGACATAAATACAGATAAATCATCTGGGTGAAAAACAGAAAGACAGTCATCCAGACGAATAGGGAGACTGCCGGACTGACGGAGAGACGTAAACGGATGAGACTACTTCACTTTAAGAATCGTCGGGTACAATTTTACCAGCAAAAACATGATTATGTTATAAACCTGGCTTTTATTTTACTAATATTTACTTCACATATTTTTTAAGTTTGCTATTGTCATATATTTAAAAGTATTATTTATACTAAAAACGTAAGAAGTTACTATAATGTTATAGTTCATAAACGTACAATGATAATAAAATTGAAACCTTTGAAATTATTCACCTTGTATAAATTCCCGGGATTAAAGTGCTAGTGTCAACATTATGAATGAAGTTGTAAATTCATACCCTACTATAAGAAGAATGTACTAAATCGAAACATTATTTTTTTTTTCTTTTTTTGTTGTTGTTTTTGGAATTTATTTCCAAATTATGATTAACATGAAATATGCAAAAACATTAATCAAACACCGTCTGTCGTTACAGACAGAAATTTGTAGCTCTCGGGTAACTGTGAGCGAAAACTCGTTACCGCCGTATACCATTTTCCTTGAGTATAGTGGCAGTCTGTGTATGATCCTTATATTCCACAAGCTATACAATTTTATGTTCCGGATAAAAGTAATTGACCTTAGTTTAATCGACTGTCACAAGCATGCTCTGATATACTTGATAATCGAATTCATCCCGTCGAAGTAATTATATGAATGTCAAATGCACGTTTACCTCCGGTTCACTTTTTTAGCAAACGTAGTACCAATCTAGAGCAAACTCTTGACATGTTCGTATTAAGTGAATTGGTAGTAATTCTTTATTTTAACTAATTCATTTGTCAGTTTTTCTTTAATTCAATTATCATTTGAGTTCCGTTACATACTTTTTGCCTGGAATTACATGTAAAATAATGAAATATATATTTTTTTCAGAGCGAAGTATTCCAGAACCCATCAGAAATTGCTTGTATGAAATGTTTAAGGAAATAGAGGTAATATATATTTGCAAAACTTTTCAGTGAAATGTACATAACTTTGCATTAATTTCTGATAAAGACATTATGAAACAACGAATACAAGTCACGTGCATGTATTGTATTTCATTTATTTTTTTATGTCATATTGAATTTGAGTTAATTTATAAGTATAATCATATTTCAAATGTCATTGCTTTTCTTTCTAATTATACAAAACAGATACAAAGTACGGTTTAAAAATATACCATCAATTATCGAATAGTTACAATATTTACATAGATGCCGTAGCTGCTCATACAAAAAGCAAACCAACATTATAGAGTTGGCCCTTCCAACATTAAATGACACTAGATATACAATATAAATCATATTTGTTCATAATACATTGGCAATTTTATATATGCTTGAATTAAGTTTGGAACCTATGTTATACCTTTCTAAACATTTATTTACTACATAACAAATTCAATCGAACTTACGAGCAAACGTATGCCAACAATATATTGTCATATGATTTTGACAATTCATTACTTTACAAATTACATATCATTATATATAAAACTTAAATTATCAGTTGTAGTCAATCATGCTTTTGTGAAGTACTTGTGTTTTCATTTCAAACTAAATATTGTTTTTTTAGAATGTACTTTGCATGAGGAGACGTACATCTGGTAAGTATAGCATTTTATAATTTTATAACGGAACTTTACACGAGGAAGTAATACGTGTAAGACATGAAATGTGTAAAGCCAATTATATCTTGTCCTGATTAGATTGCTGATTATTTTAACTTTGTTGAGTTTTTTTTTATAATCGTCATTTTTATTTGTCTCTACGCGTAACTATATAATTTATATTATTTTAGATCATACAACCACGGCATTAATTGAAAGATATCAAACATTGGGACATGATGTGCTTGAAATGGGTAAGTCCAACGCTTCATTTTGCGCATTAATGAATATAAGGGTCACAAATTCAACTTATGATCTTCTGGGACATTTAGTCATAAGTAAGGCAAGCTGACACTTCTTTGCAGTCTAACCAATACACTTTTTTACCCTTATACTGTCTATAGTATCAGCCACTATCTCCAGTGATGATGACGTCACATGGTTAGCAGCAAAACAGAACTAAGTATAGTCGCTGTAATAAAGGGAGAAAGTTAGAAAGAAACCATTAAGATAATCTCAAAACATGATCAAAAGCAACATTAATAAAATACATGGTTGATGTCGGGATAGAGAGGGCTTATCCGGTTCCCCGCAAAAGTGAAGCCAAGAAACATTTTCTCGCTCACCGGATACAACTTTTCTACCCAGACACATACCATGCATTCTCTATCTGTTGGTTGCTAACTTTTCATATTTTGAGACTGAAAAACTTAGATTACGAATGGACGGATTCAAATTAAAATCTCAACAAATCCATTACATGTGTAAAACTATGGAGGCTGCTCGTTGCCAAAAATCCAGCCTTTGAAACTTGACAATGCATACTTCAGTTCTACTAAACAGATTAGTAGAAATCTAATTGTCGATCCGTGAGTTCCGAGAGTTACATACTGCACTGGTATTAAGCATTTTGATTATCTCGATTTGATAAAATTGAAGCTGTAAACATGCAACTTAGATAAATTGCGAACTGTATTTATAAGTGTATAACTTCAAATTTGCGACATGTAGAAATGAAAATGATAGAACGTACACAATACGTTTAATAATGTGCACCATGACGTTAAGAATGATACTGCATCAACTTGACACACTGAGTATTACAACACCACTCTTTCCTTTTACATTTTAACGCGATTAACATTTGTAAACGATTTTGCAACTTCCATATATGGAATTATCACGGAAAAAGACGAAAATTAATAGGCGGATCCACTCTTCACGAAAGCAGAATATAAAGAGAGGAATCTTTTGCTGATACAAAAATATTTCAAATTATATAGAAACTGTTATAAATTTTACATACATCAACTGCATTACAGTTGTTTTTGATTGTTGAAACGTATACTAGTACAGGGTATTCAAGTAAATTAAATGCAAAATTGGTTAATATATAATGTAACAATGTAACCAAGTTCATACTGATAATGAGTATAATAATATGCAAAAACTTAAGTTGGTGAATAAACATAATGGAATATTTCCAATATATAATGACACACACCACTATTTGTTTAAATGAACGATAGGGTTTGTGTGCCTTCAAACGTTACACGGTATTACTCTTAAGCATATATTTTACATTTAGAATGCGATACATGAAAGTCACTTTTAGCAACACGAATAAAGACAGCTGAACAGTAATCATGTGCCTTCTTTCTTTAAAGGACTATGATGGGTTGTAGAAAAAACTCATATTTTTGACCAAGTGTATAACCACGAAACAATTCAACGTTAACTATCAATAATTTCGTTGTATAAACATGTGAATTTGTCCCATTTTAATGTTGAAATAAATATTTAGTGTATCCTAGCATCTCTGTTTACCTCCATTGGGAGGTATTTTGAGTCAAAGGATGTGATTTAGCCTTTTATTATTAAATATATGTAAGCTGACGTAGGTTAAGGTCTTTTTTATGAATTGTGCTGAATCAATGACAGCTATAAAATCTGTAGATACTTGCTGTCAATAGCTGTTACCTAGACTGGCTGTCTATCTGATCAAAAGCAGAGAACTATTTTTATGCACATGAAATACTACACAGAATATTTATTAAGTTGTGTAAGTGATTGCTTTCTAAGAGATAAAATAAAAAGGTATACATAAATTGATTATCGACATGCATACCTTTAGACTCATTTAAATATTATTATTGATAAACAAACTGGTAAAAATGGGAAAATATATCTATACAGTATTGTAAAAATAAAACGTTATGTACAAAAGGGTACATACAACTTTGATTATAATTTTAATTTTGTTAAAAGTGTGTTGTTGTCCAGTCAAACGCTAGAATTAAGATTACTAATGTAATAGTAAATGCTACTACTAGGTAAGACAACAGCCAAAATTTGGTCTGTATAAGTATCTAGTTGTATCAAAATCTCAATCAGATGTTGACTTAAAAATTTGAAAAGTGTAAGATAGCAGCTTAAATGTAAATGTAACATTTATTTGTCGTTGAATATAGTTTTATCAATAGATTTCACTTCCTTAAAAATATTTAACCCCAGGCAGTCAGTAACCTGGTGAGCTTTTTTATTACTTTTTTTGTTTTTTGTTTTTCTTTTTCTAGGAAATGTATTATCTACAAAGTTTTAAACTTAATATATGTCTATAAGCCTATAATTCTATAGTCCGCTGTTGTGGCATAGAATGGCATCCATGCGAGTGAATTATGTTTGGTGAATAACTAAACACATAAAAGGTGCTTCTTGTCGCCGTCGGTAAATACCGACAATGAGCGGATAAATACGTTTATTTACGATGATGTAGTGGGCGGGAAAATGGGTGGAGCTTATTTCATCTCCTATTGAAAAACGTGTAAAGCTGAATTATGCTGATCCGAATCATGATGATTCGACAATGTAAAGCTAAGAAAGAAACTTCTGTTTTGTCGGCGTGTACACAAACAATGAGTATTCGAACACTTTGTATTGCTACTATCAGAAAAACAGGTAATGTTTTTGTTGAAATGCATGTTTACAATGTTAAATTGGCAAGCTCAATGCAACATTGGAGTTTACATACAAAGAAATGCAATTGTATTTTGTCCATTAACAAACTGTTCAACTCAGATTATAAGGCTGGATTTTTGGCAACGAATATCCTCCATATAAAGCAGGATAGGATTTAACTAATTTAAAAGTTGTTCTGTATATATAACTCTTGATGTAAAGACCTACATATCTCTTCAGCGAAATAATAAAACATAAAACACGCTTATAATGATAGCTTATGTTAATGTAACTAAATCAAGTCAATTTTGTAGTTTGCAATGATTTAAAGGAATTACAATTTTATCTTGGACAATTCATGGCAAAAGTAAAGCTATGCTCCGGTTAAGCGGTTTTATGCATACAAGCAGAGGCAAAAAGTCGAATAAAAATTGTAAACTGGAATGCGTCGGTTGTCAAGTTTGAATAGCTAGAATAAATTTAAAGGTTATTATAGTTTAGGATCTGTACATGCTTCTACAGTTATGAAGAAACGGATTCTTTAATAATTTTGGCCCCAATTGCCAATCTGGTTCAAACCAGTTAATAACAAGTTCAAAATGTTTAAACAGTAAGACCATTTTCAAAAGAAACCTCCACATACATTTTTTTAACTAAATCATTGACTTTGTAAAAGTTTAAGTCAGACAATGGTTATACATGTATAATTTATCAGATCTAGATTCTTCCATACAAATATATATATATATATATAAATAGATATATAAACATGTTTGGTAAATAATTTATCATTAAATGACCAGTCAATGTCCTTTAACCGCCATTGTATTTCAAGATAAGTGTGAATGAAATTCTGGCAATTTGCCTTGATACCTACAACGAGCATATATGTCATTTGAATAGAACATGAATTAAATATAGTTTCACAACTTCTTATGAAAGTTAAATTACAAAAGATATACTCTTAATATTGTACTATATCTTATTCAATTCAAATCTAATAATGATTTATGCAGAATACCAATATAAAGGTTTTTGCATATTAAAAGCAAGGCAGCAATCATCACAACTGAAGCATATATGTATGCCAAATTATATAATATTTCAAACTAAGAACAACAGTTATCATGTTGTTGAACATACTAATCAGCTAGTGTATCACTGCTTTAGAAATCGTGAACTGGGAGGATATCAAAAAATCCTTGTGGCAAATAATTGACGACTGGAAAAGAGGTATGTTACGTTATTCATATAAATGTTTGCTTTATCATTTTAAATCAATTCTTTTATCTTGTGATTATTATTTTTATTATAAATATTGTAAGATTTCCTGTCTGTTTTCGGTTAACAAAATATCCTTGGATATAGAATAGAATTTAGAACATAATCACTTTTGATTAACATTTTTGCAGGTATTTGTCTTTTATAAAAATATATATAGAGGATAAACATTATTCATTATTTATTTAATATCCTAAATATCTTAACGATTTTAACAAGAACAAACGTAATTAACTACGGATATTCCGTCAATATTTCTCATTGCTGTCAAAATCAAAATTCGCAAAAATGTCAGTATCTCGTTCTGGATAATTGCGAATCAACGTCGCATCATACTGTTTATGAGTCGTCTGATGACGCGTGTGTGTGCGCCCATTCCTCGTTCAAGGCACGTACGATGTCATAAAATTTGTTGACATCATTCTGCTCACGTAATCTACGGCCAAGGTGGTCACACATGTGCTCTATAGGTTACAAATCTTTTGATCTGGAAGGTCATTCGAGCGTGTTAATGCTGTTTGCCATCAGGACGTTACATGTGTAAAAAGCATCATTACCGTTGTGAATGTAAGGTACAAAGGCAGGTTGATATCAGCACAATAGCGCGCGGCATTAAGACGTCCTTGAAAAATGTTCAGTTCAGTTTTACTTTCATATGATATACCGCCACAGATAATGACATCTCCGCCACCGTAACCGTCACATTCCACAACGTTAGCAGAATTTAAAAATGTAGATGTAGATTTAGAAATGTTTTGCATTCGTATACCGGAGGTCGAGCATGTTTAACAAATGAAGCTGAAAACTGATTTCTTTTTTTTACGAAAAAAATTCCATATAGAATTAAGATTAAGTAAAAGGTCGACACTAGAGTATTTGAAAAATTAGCTAAGTTTTAAAAAATTGAAGTTTGTTTGATCACTTTAACATTATGGATACTGCCCTTTTTGGCGTAATTTAAGAAAAGTTTAAGTTATTTTTTAAATATTAATATTTTTCTATTTTGTTTGTAATAAAATAACAATGAAATAAAAACCGATATTGCTCGCTACAGTTGTCAAACCTAGATACTCGTAATTAATAAAATTGCAAATACGCTCGATTGTTGAAAATGCAAAGAAATAGGTCATTGTTATTCGTTAATCAGTGTCACGGTCTAGAACAATTCACTTAAGGGAAGGCAATGTGTAGCGACCGGAAAAGCTCAGTCGGCATCAATATTCAACATCATTTTTGACAGAAAATTCAACAAACCCTTAAGCAACCAATAAAGTAGTGGTCGATATTGATTGTAATTGTGATAAATAGCTCGAACAAAAAGGGGACTCATTTTGACTTTCTAGTACAAAGCTACACAGAAAATTTCTTTACTTTAAGTTTCTTTGTGTTTATACTTTATCGACTTCAGTAAAAGTTTTATGGACACAGATACCTTAAAATATATAAATATAAAGTAATGAGCCTTGTTTTATTTGACTACATGAGTAAATGAAGTACAATTATACAAAATTCATTTTTTTAGAACTTGGCTTTCAAGGCATTACCGTCAAGGATCTGGATGGTAAACAGCAAATCATCTATCACAGGTTGACTTTTGGAAATGATTTAGATTATCTCATAAATCAAGTTGCAGATAAAACTGGCATTTCAAGAAAGGAAGTTATACTAGTGTTCGGAGAAAATATTGTTGACCCAGAGAATGAAGATTTGTACATACCTGATGGGGCAAAACTACAGCTTCTTCCTCTGGAGAAAGGTATGTAAGAAAAGAGCAAATGTGATTATTTTGCAAATATAAATACGCTCATTTAAAAAAATCAAGACAACATTATTCAAACAGTTTTGATAAAACCAGAATATTTACATGTTCAGTGTACAATGATTAAGAGGTACTTATATACATAATATAAATATTTAAAGTATATTCATGATATAAATATTTGAAGTAATTACTATGTGTTTTTTGGTAAATGCGTTTGGTTGTATTGTAATCGTGATCTACATGCATTTTAACAACAGTACGTCTTACACTCATGTAACCTGTTTATCGTTTTCTGTTGACCACTGGTATATTGTATCCTCCGTGTAAGGTTGTATCTTGTTGGTATTTGTCGAACTTTTGTGTCTTCGTTTGTTTGCCTAATTGTGGTAGTTTTATTTTATAGTCTGTTTCGTGAGAGAAGTCACTATAAGTTGAAAGGTTGTATGAATGTGTTCACTAATAGTTCACGTACATGATCCTAAAATCTCCGCAAAACATCTTCTTGCTTAAGTAAGATATTTCCCATCGCCAGTTTCACTTAGTACGGGTAACCGAAACTTACAGTATTGTTTTGTGATACACATAGTTACTTTATATCAAACATGAGAACATTGTTTTAAATTCTTGTATGATGATTCTGGTAAGAATTCATCTATTTGTAATATCATATTATTTTCCATGGATGAATTTGATGAAATTTGTAATTCTATTGTATTTGTAGTTTCCTTTGTATTTTGTTTGTAGGGTGCTTTTTGTATGCCTCCGATGATAAAGAATGAACAAGAAGATTGTCTTGATTCATCCCCGGTTGCATTTATCTAAATATTTAAGTCTACATAGGATTTGATGTATGTTTAAACAGCTACAGACGTTTTGTCACATTTCATATAATATACTAGGCTTATAAGACGAACATCATTATATATTAGACATCTTGTGTTTCAGGTCAAAATCCTCCTACAAACCTGACAACATTTGTGAGGGGCATATTCAATGGACTTTATGTAAAGATCGACAGAATCTGTAAGATTTTATGTTACGAGGGATTGTCAAAATTTACCGGACTCAAAAAATAATTCATAACCTGTTTAATGCATTTACATAAGAATAACAGTTAGGTTGAACTTTATTGACCCCTTTACTTTATAACTAGTATCCTTTTGTGCGTTTTAGATGGTGTCTCATCTTTATTTTTACAAACTGTTATTTTTTTCAAGACGGTTTTAACGCGAGTATTGATTTAACAAATGATGTTGAAATTCTTATTGCAATATCAAATGTAGATTAGATGAAATCATATTATCTGAAAGCGTCATAAACGTGACGCTTAAGGTTTTAAACTGTTTAAAATCTTTATATGAAATATTGTAAAATATAGTAGTAATTACGTATCATAGTGCTCTTTTCAGCAGCGCAAATTGATGCGCTTCGTCGGGTAAACGTAATCATGCTTGTTTTTTTTAAAACTCTTTCAAGGACAGGTTAGATCAAAAACATCAATTCACAAGTACTGATTTCTCAGTAAATGTTATATTGATCAATAAGTGATAGGTGGACAATTCATTAATTGGCAGCCGCTGTATGGTTTATTTCTGATAATATGTCGTAGATACCAATAGAAATAATACTTTGCAATAATCAGGATTTTCTTTTTTGAAAGTCATTATTCTGTGTTAAGAATATGCACTCCATCTTTGTGATTGATTATGTAGAAGGAAAATATTGAATTTTTTTTTGTCGCGTTTAATATTTTAGATACAGCATAAAATTGTTATAAAAATGGTATTCAAAAACATTAAGAACATTTTGCCGGTCCTGTAAATTATCATGGCAATGTTATGCAATTTGATTGTTATTTTCTTTTTATCTCCGTTATGCAGCGTGACATTTCGGTCAGTACAAAATTTATGACTTGACTGAAAATCAGTTGTAAAATAGTTAATATTACGCTTAATCTAACACTATTGTTTTCTGTAAATCAGTCAAGAGTAATTTAAAAACAAAGTATAACGTCTCATAAAGTCTGGAATAAAATTTGTTATAGTAATTGTATTTCTTTTAGTTGTCAATATATTGTTTTATTTATTTTCAGTTTCGTACTTTCCCAATGTTTTTAAAGACACTACACGTTTACTCTCTGAGAAGGATTTTGTGAGGATATGTCAGTTAATAGGTAAAGGATGGGGTATGCTGGGAATTGAGCTGGGTCTTACGAAGGTGAAGTTGCAACAGATAACAGAAGACAAGCGAAATGTAGCCTCGCGTATATTTGAAATGCTAAGCCAATGGAGTCAAACACGAAAAGATGGAGCCACGGCAGGTCAACTGCTTTCTGCTGTCATGAAAAGTGGAGTAAGCTGTGATTTCGATGAACTTAAACGAGTCCTTCTTGTTGGCTTGTAAAACAATATCACGTACCTACAGTAACTAACTATGATGTCATCATGATATTTGACTTTAAATAAATCATTCATTAGTGATGAGAAAAAATGTGAATGGGGACTAGAGACGAAGAAAAAACAATTAAGATAGCTGTTCTTCTGAGTTAAATGTTTATAGACAAATATTTAAATTGTCAAAATATCTTCTTGAACTTGACTAATTTCTAGAAAAGAATTGGAAAATAAATAACTCATCAGTAACATGTTTGTTATCGTAAGAAGACATTTGCAAATACTTCTGATAATTAAAGAAATAACATGTTGTTTTTTTCAGTACAACTACCATTTTAGATCAATTAGCAATTACTTCTTTAATTTATTGTTTGTCATCATGTTTTAAAAATGCCAAATTGTACTTGTATAATCACTTTTGTTTAATATTTCATTATAAAAACATCTTGATTCATTAATTTTAGTGCATATTATTAAAAGATCTCTTTTCTGGGCAATGGTTATACTGTTTACCTAACCTGTTTGACATTTGTTTTCGGTAAATATTGTAGACAAGCACCAAGACTGTTACTTTAATGTTTGTCAATATGGTTATGTACAAATACATTACAGTAGTGATAACAATATTTATATGTAAAATGAAAATCACACTTTAGAATAGTTTGTTGATTTATTTTAAAAAATATTATAAAAAATAATTTTCTTTGTAAAACTTCATAGCTTCACTCAATCACATAACAATTGCAACAATACCTCTATTATGTTTATTAAGTACTTCATAACACTTTTCAAACCATACTGTGTCTTTGTTCTTTTATAACGTTTTGAAAAAGTTGTATACTTCTTTATGTCAATTGCTATATTTATACATTTTAACATTTAAATGTTATATTCACGCACTTTTTTAGAACATCAGTTCAAACAACAACTACAATACCTAAAATGAATATTCAAATTGTCGTTTTGTTTAAAGGTTCAGTAGTTCGATATATTTATTTTCAATCCGTTGTGCTTTCTGAGAGTTTGATTTAAAATTGAAATTGAAAAAAAAAAGAATATACAGCAAAAGTAAGGTGAATTAACTTTCACTTAAGGTTTAAAATTTTACTCGACAGTGACTGTTTCTGTTGCAGAATTTAATGATGCGTTTTATTAAATCTCTGAGAACTGTATTCATCAATTGGAAACTTAATATAATTTAACCTAAAAGAAACAGTACAGTAACTTTCACTTATAGCGAACACGGTTATAGCGAATTTCTGTTTATGAGGAACAATTGATTTTCGCCCGAATTTTGCCCTTCTTTATTTAATATAAAATATGCTGTTATATCGAACACGTTTATAAGGAATTATTGCATATAATGAACTCATTTCGTAGCCCCAATTTAGTAAAAAGTACAGGAAAATACACTTTTATAACGAACTTCAAAATATCGGCTATCCGTAAATAGACTTTCGTTTCCATTGGTCGACCGAACGTACCGTTTTAGCATGACTTCCTGTCACCAAGATAAAACGGTTATTTCTCTTATTATATTATTTAATTTCTTTAATTGTTTTGCTCGAGTAAAATAATTATAAACATTTATAATCGGATCGCATGCTTGTTAATCAACTGAAATCTACAAAGTACGCTGGATTGAAAAAGAAAATAAATCTATATTTTATAAGTTAAAGTCATCCTTAAAATATAATAGAAAATATCACTATAAAAGGAGGGAAAATAAAAAATCTTGTGTATTTTTAATCATGGAAAAAAAACGAAAGGCAATGAGTTTAGAAAACAAATATGATATTTTATGAGAAATTGAGAAATGGAGTTAAACTATAAAACTGAAAAAGCAAAGGATTTTCAAATTCCAAAAACTACGCTCTAGGGTATTGTATCTATAAAAGAAAAAATGACTAATATTTCTTTACCAAATGCTTTTAAAAATGGCAGACGATGGTAATCATTCAGTTCTTTATATGTAAGTTCGTTCGCTATAAAAACTCCTGATACAAGGAACTAATTCGCTATAAGCTTACAAGAAACTCCGAATATAAGGAACAGGTTTTTAATGTCGTAATAATTTTGTTATAAGCGGAGTTTACTGTATGCTATACTATAATCATTTATCATATTAAAGCCATAGTGTATGAAGGTTGTTCCGTTCAAACATGGAATACAACATATACTATGGGCTATATACTAGCCGCTTGACGCTTGTACCCTCGAAAGTTAGTTGCTTAGCATTTCAACTAACTTTCGAGGGTACAAGCGTCAACCAAGGGTAATTTTTGATTGTGCTTTATTTTAATATACGTCACTCAAGGATTTTCCTTGTTGAACACTATATGATGTCTAAATTCTATTCACAATTTATCTTGTTTAAAAAAATAATTACGTTAAAAATGATATTTCTTCCGAATAAACATAAAACTGATGATTTATGGCACAGCCGATTTTATAAAACTATTGACTATACTTTCGACAAGGGGTAAATGCACGTTATTAAACAAATCAAAGACAAACGTTTGATATTTTAGCAGTGCAGTATCCTGCCCCGCATTATTGATTCTTTAGTAAAAAACATTTTTCAATAATGAGATCACGTACTCTTTTGTGTTAAAGGTACATTATGTTGTTTGACAAATATATATATATTGATAACGATGATGTGTCTTACAACTCACTTACTATTTTTTGTGTTCATCAAGATGCCTTGTTAACTATTTTTTTCTTGG